GCATGCACATACACACACTCCACTCTGTTTCATTGTCTTTAGAGCACCAGGGCACTTACTACTAACTGAAGTCTTCTTTCTTTTCTCTCTCCATGTCCACTCCACTAGAATATCAGTTCCAAGAGCTCAGAGCCGGGTATCTTCCTCACTGTTCTATCGCCAGTGCCCAGAACGGTGCCTGCCACACAGTAGGTGCTCAGTTAACACTCACAGCATGCATTTAAATTGCACCAAGTGGCAGGTTCCAACTCACGACTTTTAGCTGCTGTTGTTCATTGCAAACGCTGGTGTCCTACTTTCCGGTTCTGCTCTGAGGGCCTGCTACCACCCGTTCCCCTCAGCCTACAAGGACTCAACGCAGGTGACACTGGTTCACACCCCTGGACTTGACCTTCTTTGTTCAGTGCTTCTCTGTCTTCCAGCAGCTTCTGTCCTGTCTGCCTGCCAACCTCCATTCAGCTTCACTGAAGCTCATTTGCACCAACTCTCCTTCAAAACTATTTTTCAGCCTATTTTAATGTACAGTTTTATAAATTTTAACACATGTATAGATCTGTGTAACTATATTGCCACAGTCAGAAACCCCCCCAAACTCCAAAATGTTCTGCAGTCACAGCCTCCGTCCACCCCTAACCCTTGGCAACCAGGGATCCACTCTCCATCGCTTTATTTTTGTCTTTTTGAGACCATCACAAAGCTGGATTCATACAGTATATAACCGTTGGAGGATGGCTTCTTTGGCTCACTGGTGTTCCCTCGAGATTCCTCCAAGCTGGTGCATAGATCGGCTGAGTTCATTGCTTTTTTATTGCTGGGTGTCACCCCTCTGCGTGGATGTACCAAGATTTGTTCAGCCAATCACCTGTGAAGCACACTAGGTTGTTTCCAGTTTGGGGTGATTATAAATAAAGCTGCTATAGATATTAATGTAAAGCTTTTATGTGAGTGAATTTTCATTTCCCTAGGATAAATATCGAGGAGTGGGATGGCTGCATCACACCGTACCTTTTTGCACTCCCCACCAGCAATGTTTGAAAGCCCTAGCATCTTCACATTATCTCTAGCACTTATTATGATGAGGTGTTTGTTTCTGAATTTAGCCTCTATCAAAGGTTTGTGGTGGTATCTCATTACGGTGTATTTTTAATGAAAAATAATAAAGTAGATTTGAAAACAGATCACATCACAGAAAACAATGGTGAATGCGATGTTTTTAAAGATTTTACTTATTTATTTGATATCGAGACAGAAAGAGAGAGAGAGAGAGCACAAGCAGGGGGAGCGGCAGGCAAAGGGAGAAGGAGAAGCAGACTCCCCGCTGAGCAGGGAGCCCGATGCGGGACTCGATCCAGGGACTCCAGGATCATGACCTGAGCCGAAGGCAGTCGCTTAACCAACTGAGCCACCCAGGTGCCCTGGTAAATTTTATTTTTATATAAGTATGTGAGTACAGTCACACACATAGGTACATACTAAGTCATAATGCAAAATATATTTTATACTGCGGATTATGGTAAAAAAATGTTTGAAAGCCACAGTTCATACCACAGAAGGCAGACCCAGGATTGGCATTTCTGCTTGCTTCAGAGTGAGTTAGAACCTCAAAACCTTAACTAAGCTCCACATTATGGCAGGGAGAAGAAACCGAGGTCAGACTTCAAGGGCACAGATTGGGAATGCAGTCAGGAAAGATGGTGCCATCAGCGCTGAGAAGCAGGTTTAATAGAACTCACTCCTTTGTTCATTCATAACTGTATATGCAAACCATCATTCAGTAACAAGCTGTTGGCACCCGGGGCCTGCTTTAATGATTGTACCGTCGAAGAGAGATGTGATAGAACTACAGATGTATCTACAGGACGTATTGAAAAATGAGGGTAGATGGTTCTTAAAAAAAAAAAAAAAGGCTATTTAATGCATTATACCTCCCTAAACGGTATATTGCATGTATAAAATAATGAGGTCATTTCCATGTGTTGGTGGGGACGTAGGTGTAGAGGGACCGTCGCGCGGCTGACGGGAGTGTGTCTGGTTGCATCCTGGAGAACATGCTTACAGTCCCTAAATCACGTAGACACAAACTTGCTGACCTGACAGTTCTGATCGTGGGTATGGTGTCTATTACAAACTTCTCACAGGTCCACAAGGGAACATGTACAAAAATGTTCCTTGAAGCATTATTTGGGGACACATGAAATCGGAGGCCATTTGGGTGCCCATTCCCAAGACCTGGATAGAGAAAATGTGGTGGATGAATGCCCAGAAGCACAAGGCAGTGGGCAGAAGTCACGGGATTGGACAATATTGAAAGTATCGTACGAAGAGAAGACTAAGCGACAGGATGAGATATAGAGAGCACTTACATAAATTAAAACCACATGTATACAAAACAATAATGCAAATTTTGCTGGAACACACGCAAACAAAAAGTACCCATGAAGCACCAAGAGAGGGAGAGAAACAAAAATAGGCAGGTAGGAATAAAAAACAGAATTAAAAATTTTTAAGAGAGCCTAGATTTTCCAGGCTGCTGGAGTGACTCTTAGCTCTGACCTGAAGGGATCTCAGTGGCTGTTGGGTTTGTGCTGTTATATTGTGCAATTTGTACAATATTGTGTTATTTAGTATAATACTTAGCTAGTTAGTTGATTTAGACTCTCATCACCTAGAGGGATCTCAAGTCATCCAATACTAGTTCCAGTAGCTCCAGGAAGCTGTTTTCAAAGGCAGGCTTCCCGTCAACATGCCAATCTCCTTCATGCCTTGGTTTTGTACTCTCGCTGGTGGATGTTCTGTGTTTACCCTACTCAAGTTCGCTGAGAGCAGGAAACGTTCTGATTGGTCACATTAGCCAATATCCAGTGTGGTGTCCCCCTATCAGAGAGAATTCTTGCATCAGGCCACTTCACAGGCAACTGGTCCTACCTATGAATAGCCTTTGGCTCAGGCAAGGATCCTTAGCCCAAACAGATTATGGAAGTTTTAGGATTATAAAACAAAGCATGACCTTTCTCTCTTTTTCTTTCTTTCCTTTTTTTTCTTTCCTTTTCTTCTTTCCTTCCTTCCTCTTCCTTTCTTTCTTCTTTCCTTCTTTTCTTTTCTTTTTCTTTCTCTCCCTCTCCTTCCTTCCCTGCCCCCCTCCCTCCCTCCCTTCTTTTCTTTCTTTTTAATAGGAAGTTTAAGGATGCTTTTCTCAGAAGAGAGGAGTGTTGTGAGTCTTCCTGGCACTTCACAATGTCAGTTACACCCTGATTGCCGTGGGGAATGTGCCCTAGACAGAGGAGATGCGTGGTTGTGAAACCCAAGGATCAGAGGGATTGAAACAGACAGACTAGACTGTCCCCCCAAACACAGCCAGGTCGGAAAGTGACACTGCAGCACGAGGACAACAGGTTTTGGAGTCATGTCTGGGGACCATCCAGACACTGCCAAATACTCAGTGTAAGGACACGCTTCATTACTGCCCCCCACACAGAATTCTTGCGTGGTTATGCTTAGCGTGGTGATTCAAACATAGTACATGCTCAGTGTGCTCTGGTTGCGGGTCTTCCCCTCCTACCCGCCTCGTGTTGGGAGGTGTCGGTGTAGACCCCGCAGCCTGTGTGTGAGCATCAGCAGCTCCAAGCATCGGCGGTCGTTTGCCTGTAGCTTGCCCAAACCTACTTAAACCAGATTTTCTCCAATCTTCCCCGTTCAAAATAATTGCTTCTGAATGTATTCTTTTCTTTTTCTTCCCTTCTCTGAGAATTATAGCTCGTAGGTCAGAACTGGAGAGCAGGGAGCGTGTGAGTCACTGAGGCGGAGGGAGGGAGTGTCAACAGCCCAACTTCTGCAGAAAAATGGACTGGCTTCAAGGTCAGAGAAATAACCTCTATGCGTTTGCAGCAATCATGCCTGTCTTCTGTCTAAAGCTACATCTATTTCCCACCCTGCACTCCAGCCTTATATTTTAGTGGATTGATTGGGTAGAATTCAACTCTCCTTGACATTTTTGCAAATGCCTGACCCCACTTAAAATTTTGTTAAAATTTCTCCTGTGGAAAAATGTATTTCACTCGTCCCAAAACTTTATGACCATTCTGAAGATCCTATGTTAGCACATTTGGAGAACAAGTGGGTTTTCTGTTAAACTAATTTATAGCCATACCTTTTAGTTGCTGCAATGATGTTGTCAAGGCAAGTCATCAATAACACTGTGTGCAATTTTACTTCCCAATTTCTTTTTCTGTTTTCATGGTAATGGGAGCTTCAGGCTGGACGAAATGAGAGCCCTTGGCACTCTATACCCTGTCATCTGGGCGGGTGGGGAGGAGAGAGCCTGGAGAGTCCCAGCAGCTGCCCTGGGAAGTCACATCTTTCACCCAGTAGAAAGGTCAGCAGGAAATATTTCCACAGAGTATGTGACAGAATGCTCTCCTCTATTCTATTTTTATTGGACATTAATTGCATTTATTAGTTAAGGCACATGTACCTTAAAAATGAATGAACGAATGTGTATCAACCAAATTGAAAACAAAAGCTTTCAAAACACACACACACACACACACACACAAAAGCTTTCATGACAAAAGGAAACAAATGAATGAATGAAGTACTAAAAGAAAGGACTGGCGTGCTGCTGAGGGGTGGGAGCGCATCCTGCATTTTTTAGATGAAGCAAAAATAAAAGGTCGGGGTCTTAAAAGTCTCAGTCTAGTCAGTCTTTCAAAATTAAAAATCAACTCCCACTTTGCTAGGTGTTTGCCACTGAAATTTAACTTCTGTGTTGGTTCTCATAAACTCAAAGATATAGAGATCAGGAATTTGATAGGAAACTGAACGCTGAAAGCCTATTTTAAAAAAAAAAAAAGGAAGCAGCCTAAAATGTCAAATGACCAAATAAAATGTTTACAATGCAACATTTTAATTCAAGCACTTATAAGTAGTAGTTGAAATGAATGGATGCATGCTGAAAAAAATGTAGCATATTAGCCACAACATAAAGTAAAACTTTGTAACAAGATTATGAAAGTGATTTTTATTATTTTGGTAATGGTGTCCAGTTATAGGTAATTACAGATACAGAATGTTTTTAATCTGGTATATGAAATAGTAAAAGATACATGTTAATGCTGTGTCACCAAAACGTATTGCAGTTACAACTATATATGATGGTTGCTCTGTACATGTTAAAAGCAAACATGATAAAATACAAAAATAAGAAAAGGTTAAATAAAAAGTTATCGTTGAGCTATAAACATCTACTAAAGTACCACACAGTGTGTCATAGCTAAGAACATACAAATTCATATAAATGCTATGCACCTACTTGATCTAATATAGATCTAATAAGGGAATATTAAGGACATAATAGCATTTCACAGGTGAAGGCTAAGTTCTGAGACGTGAAAGCTTTCAGAGAAGAAAAAAAAAAAAGCTTTCAGGTAACCCACAAAACAAACCTGAGACATCTTTTTGTTTGGAAAAAAGTAATCTTCTTGCAAAGTCAAAGCTTCAGTATATAAAGGAAGCATTTAAGAAACAATATACTTTAACTATCATCATAACCTGGAGTAGATATTCTGACTACAATAGTGACCAGCAAATACATTCTTTCTCTGGAAGAAATAAAATAAGGTTTTCTGATTAAACCAGTAGCTGGATTATTGTAGCCTCCAAGTTTGGTTATTTGTATTTGTCTGTTTTGGGTTTTGCTTTCCTTCCTTTAACTAGATTATAAAATACAGAATAACCTAGTTGTATTTAAATAAGCCAGGCAGCCTCCAAGAGCCCACCTCACTTCCTATATAAGCACAGCTTCTCCATTGCCAGAAGTCCCAGACAAACTGAGCCTACATCCGTACAAACAGATTCTAGCACATCTGGACTTGGTTGACTTAATGAGGCATCCAGATTGGTACATGATTACTCTTGGTACCACACATGTCTCAGAGTAAGTGGGCTAGGGCAGCCTAAAATTCCTGTCTCGGCCCTGCTTAGGGGTGGAGGGTAATCACGTTTTCGAAGACCTGGTGACAAAAAAAATTTAAATGTAGTGAGTAAGCCCGATTTCTATAGTTGGCTTTGGTGCCTTTAAAAATACTGACACAGTTCTACATCCTCAAGAGGTAGAGCTATGAGATCTTATTGACTAAAATTATACGAAATGTTTAATAAAAGAATTCCAAATTACAAAAGTGATCTTCTGTGTTGTAGATTTTTTTAAAGTCTGCTTGGGATTTAACGTTGGCCCACAAAACATTTTTCTAAATGTTCGTATTTCAAATTTTGTGCTTCAGATGAATTAATTTGGAATGAGTGGGGAAAAGCTTAACCATATTTCTTCCTTTTCCTCTCTTTTCTCACCACCCCTACGCACAGCCATCAGACACTCTTCCCTTTGTAATTTTGATTAAGAGAGTCCAAAAAGCTTAACAGAATGTAAGAAGCAGTAAGCTTTCAGGACATGGTACACCTTCCTCTGCAAGTTCACATGCAATGGAAGTTAAAGCTCCAACCTTTACTTTGAACTTTTGCCATCTTCCATCATGCATTTGTGTGTGTGTGTGTGTGTGTGTTTTAAGGTTTTCAGGCTCTTTACATAAATGGAACATATGTATTCCATTCAGGCTTCAGGTTTTCACAGTTACCAAAGTGACTGCTCACCGGGCCGGGCATCCTGAACAGCGCGCCCGATCTGAGGGGCTCCAATGGAACGTGATGCAATCCTCAAAACAGCCTCCTAACACTACCTTCTGACTCTGACTTTCCAAAACACAGACATGAACACTATTTTTTAAAAAATCATTTAAGAACCTAGGCCTATCATGATGGGAATCTCCCCCCTGGTTCTCTAATAAAGAGAACATCTAGATAATTCATTGCATTTTCCCCTACTCATCAGGCAGACACAGGTTAAATTTCTCTGCCTTGCCCAGGCTAATGGTCAGATTTCCAGTAACTTCAACTGGAACTCAACAATCAGAATGGCTTTAAAATCTAATTAAAATTTAAGCATGCCAAGAGTTTGGAATTGTAACATATTAACTACATCGATTTCACAAAAAGATTCTAGATTATGAATATAATTTTAGAAAATATGTTGTAAAGTAATAAGGAACACATCTTAGAGATCCAATTTTGAGACTTTTTAGTTCTCATTCAAGTTGCAGATGAGAGAATGGACTTCGCTTTACCTTGGTTTCCATCATGTTAAAATAGGATCATTTCATGTATTTGAGCCCAAATTGGTTGAACTGTACTTTTTGATTGGTCTTTCTTTTGGAAAAGTGTACATTATTCAAACTTTTCTTAACCAAAATAGCTAATACTATTTAATAATCTACTAACTAATACATATTGCTTATGAATAATTATATATGTAAATATATTGACTAGTATTTGGTGACTTTTTTAACCTATGAAACTTCCTGAAATCAGTGCATTATAATCATATACTGTAAAGCTTAGCTGGGCTGGTAAATCCTTTTTTTTTTTTTTTCTCATCATTGAAATTCTGTACTTTGGCAACAACAGAGGTATGATTTCGGCTTAGAATTTTTTTACAATTTAACAACTTACACTTTAAAATTCCTGATAAATCATTGAAGCCTACTATAATCACTGAATCAACCACACTATTAATTTCTTTATAAGCAAATGACTTTATGATTTATGCAAAAAAAAGAGAAAGCATATCACTAGGCAAAAAGACAAATCCATCCCTAGATACTACAGCCTCCCTAAACTATTTTTCACTGAAGAGGTGAGAAAGGAATTTCTGGTCTTTACCCTTTTCCCTTATCACCCTCAATCCCATGTCTTACACTGAACTTATTTGCCTTTGCATATTCAACAATATATTCTAAAACTTTGCTTACTACGATTTTCCTACGGGGCAGATTTCAGCAGCGGATCATCCATCTCGGACCCCACCCACGGAGGCATGGTCACTGAAACTCTTCTTCACTCGGTCATTTAATTCTTTGGCTCCAAAACCCTTCCACGAGCTCCTTCAGAGCCCAGCGCTCCTCTGAGCACATGTGTGAAGCGCATCATCTGCCGGTCAGTTGGTTTATGCTCACTCTAGAGGCTGAGAAAGTGGCGCCGAGGAGCTAGCAAAGTCTACTCCCCATCCCCCCGCCTTGAGTACTTCTAAAATTCGAGCTCGCTTCTTTGTGGCTTCTCACTGGCAGTCTTCCTCGGCTTGAAACTTTTGGACAGCACTATCGAGGAGCTCCATGGACTCTCTGAGAGTGACGTTGATTCGAAATGACTTGGGTTTAATGGTCAGACCGTAATTAAAATCCATCTTCGAGGGTTCGTCTGGATTGGCCTTGAAATTGCACTCGTGAGCCAGGATGGAAATGAAGAGAAACAGCTGCGTCTTGGAAAGCTCTTCCCCAATGCACCGCCGTTTGCCCACGGAAAAAATCATCACGCTGCTGGCCAGGTCCTTGTCGATGCAGCCGTCTTTGTCCAAGAACCGGCCCGGATCAAAGTCCTCTGGGTTAGGCCACTTCACTGGGTCATGATTCACAGACCACTGGTTAACAAAAACCACCGTGTCCTTGGGAATGTGGTAGCCCAAGACAGAGGTGCTGGTGGTGGTGGCGTGAGGAATGGTGACGGGCACGAAGCTGGAGAAGCGCATGGCTTCATAAAGAAAGGCCATGACGTAGGGCAGGTTGGGCTGGTCATCCAGGCAGGGTAGCCGGTCTCTACCCACGACTTGATCCAGTTCGGCCTGGACCCGAGCCTGCACTTCAGGATACCTGTTGGGTTGTTAACGCAGGAGAAAATAAGTGAGGAAAACGAATCCTTCTTTCGTCTAGAAAGCACATGACCATTTTAATTTCACCTTCTTTATCTGAATCAGTGGCTGAATTAACACTACCAGCCCCCCTAAAAGAAAAGAATCCCAAACAGCTTCCTAATTTCTCACTAAATTACAGGATGAATAAACTAATAGTTACATTTCCTGGAATAAGCCTCACCTGGCTAATGCTCTCTTTCCTTTCGTAAGTCAAAAACAGTCTTAAGTTTTCTAGCCTGAAAAAGCTCCTAACGGACAAAGCCAACTTCTCCATGAGCACAAGAACCCACAAAACTTTCCAGGGGCCCATGAAAATGTTTTCATTTCATTCAAAATCAAAAAAAAAAAAAAAAAAAAGAAGAAGAAGAAGAACTATTAGGTCAAAGAAAATGTTTTAATATGTAATTTTAATATATTTATCTTTATTCCAATTAGTAATAAATGTCATTAAAAATCTCTTATGGGGTAAGCTGTCTATAGAGGCAAGAGCACCCAGGACCCACAAAGGTAAAAAAGCAGCCCCAAAAGTGGATCCTTTTTTTCTTTCATCTCCCAGGATAATTCTAGCACATACACTCCTCTCACTTCACACAAATTGGTATCCTGATAGATAAAGCTACACATCTTCTAAACATAAAAGGAAATTCCCAGCATTCAAGAGATGATGGTACAGGCTGTAATGCTTATTCACTGTTGGCAATACAAAAGTACTGTCTTTTTGGAAAACAAAATCTGAGTACAAAGCAAGATGCAGAAGGATAACTCCTCCCCACTCTTTTTAAACCCAGTAATCCATGCCTAGAAATGTATGTGCAGGAAACAACAGGTACAAAAATATATAACTACAACAACAGCTGAAATTTTAAAAATGCAATCAACACTATTAAAAGAAGTGATCAAAAATAATGGGGATATTATGACAAAAATACTAGGGAGCCATCAAAAATCACTAAAATAAAGTTTAAAAGACAGGGAAATGTCCATTACAATAAGTGAAAACGTCAGAAGTTAAAAAAAAAAGTAAAAAATTATTGCATCTCTGAAAAAAACTTAAACATGTATGGTATGAAATTATGGGTGATTTAAAAAACTGCTTCATGAACATCATACTTCAGGGGTCTGCAAACTTTTTCATGAAAGGCCAGATAGTAAATATTTTAGGCTTTGCTGACCAACCCCCCGTCACAACTATCCAGCTCTGCCTTGTGCTAGGAAGGCAGCCACAGACAATACATAAATGAACGGGCATGGCTGTATCTTGCTAAGAAACTTACATACAAAAATGGGTAGTGTAATTTGCCAACCTCTGTCATACTGTCTTTTCACTAAAAAGAAGAAAAACGTATTCATCAGCTATATTGAATTGAAAGTGACTCCAAAATTGTTTAATTTACTTTTGCTGCCCAATTCAGTTTCTGATTTAAAAAAAAAAAAAAAAAGACGGTTTCAAAAGATGATATGCTTCTGGTGGGATGCAAAGGACCTACTGATCTCCTTTTGGGATGTCTTTTCCCGATCTATTATTGACTTCTTTGTATTTGATTTCTGCTCATTGCCCATATGTGTTTCTGTGCTCTTAATACTGAAAAGCAGTTGTTAAATATACAAAAAATTCCACTGATAAAAGTAGTTGCACAGGATCTAAGGACATAGAGGTTGCAGGATTCTAATAAGAAAAGAAGCAGTCTTTGCCTTCCCATGTCTGGATTGCCAGCAAATTCAGCATCCCCCGCCGCTTCCTTCTGCGCCAAGAAATGGTACCAACCAGGACTTCAGGTCTCTCAAGGCAACCAAGATGTGCCTTGAGGGAGCCATGTGCCTCTGGAGCAGGGTTCCCAGACAAAAACAGGCTGCTCTGTTAAATCTAAATTTCAGATAAACGATGGTTAATCGTTTAGCAAGAGCATGTCCTGTGTGAATTTTCTTTTTTATTTTCTAAGTCTGGCAACACCCTATACCAGCAACCCGTTTGCGTCCTGCGTGTAGAGCTTCCCAGAGGTCTGCGATCGTAATCCAGGTGGGCACTGCCGACCAGCCTGCCAACCGAGCCGGGCCCGGGGACCAGAAAAGTCCGTCCGCAGGCGCCCCCTGGATACCCTGTTTGCCTTCCGAGGCGCCGCTGTGCGCTCGGTAAAACTGACTGCTTCTGCGATTTTCTTTACCCGGACGCTACTAACACAACTAGCGCGGCGGTTTCGTAAACCCAGCACAACCTGCTAATTTCTGGCCGCCTTCCTAAAGCTTCCGTGCCGGGTAAGCGCGGGCGGGGCCGGCCTCCGAGCGCTCCCTCCGCCCGGGAACAGAGCCCGGACGCGCGGCTGGCTGGCAACGCCGGGGCTGGGCGGCCTCTGATCTGCGCCCGGGACTCGCCGAGCCGATTCGCTGCTGTGTTTATTGAACAAATTGCCCGTTACCCTTTCTTTCGGAACCGTGCCAATTTTGCTTCTGCTGTGCCAAGGAGGCAGAGATCGGGGCTGATCTGCGGACACTTAGAAGATCTTGCCTTTCAGGGGGCTCTCACAAATTTGTCCCCAGTTGGAGAGGTAGCGAGCGACAAGGTCAAAGACGCGGGCGGTCGGGGCCCGGCTGGGTTGGGTGCGCGCGCGGTCTCGGCCCGCACTCTGCCTTCCTTCCCGAGCTGAGCTTTCGCGCCGCGATCTCAGCTTCGAGAGGTGCAGAACCTTCGAGAGGTTCTGGCGCAGAACCCCAAACCCTGGGCGTTCGCCGCGACCTCAGCATATCCTAGTCCCGCTCCGTCTTTTACAGGGGAGGGAAGGAAGGCCCGGCCCACGCCTGCTGGAGGCTTTACCTGGTGAAAAGGACGAGCAGCCACTGCAGCGCGGTGGAGAGCGTGTCCTGGCTGGCGCCGAAGATGTCGGTGACAGTGGCCGGCACGTACTCCAGGTCCTGCCGCGCGCCGCCGTCCTCCGAGCCCTCCGCCGCCTCGGTTCCCGCCGAGATGATGAAGGCGTCCATCATGTCGCGCGGGCCGGCCCCGGGCTGCAGGCTTTCGCGGTGCCTCAGGAACTTGTCGAGGACGAAGTTGCTGAAGTTGCGGTTGAGCTGCTCGAACTCGCGGAAGGCGGTGCGCACGGGGTTGGGGAAGCGCTGCAGCCAAGGCAGCACGTCCACCAAGCTGCCCGCGCCCACCGTGCGCCCGAACTGCTCGTTGTGGCTGAGCAGCTCGCGGAACTCGGCGTCGTCGTGGCTGTAGCGGCAACCGAAGCACACGGCGCTCATGACGTTGGCCACGGCCACCACGGTCAGCGGCCGCGGGTCCACGAAGGCGCCGCCCGCGCTGCCGCGCACCAGCAGCGCCACCAGCTCCCGCGCCTCGCCCAGCACGTGGCCCTCGAGGACGCGCCGGCTGCGCGGCTGGCGCGTGGAGAAGGCCCGCATGGTGCTGTGCGCCGCGCGCCGCCGCACCTTCCAGCTCTGCGAGTACGGGCCGAAAGCCAGGCTGTGGCCGCCGGACACCACGCGGAAGGAAGCGAAGCGCGGCCGGTCGGCGAAGGCGGCGCCCTGCTGCACCAGCGCCTGGCGGATGGCGCGCTCGCCGTTCAGCACCACCACGGGGCAGTTGCCCAGGCGGATCTGGAAGACGTCGCCGTAGCGCCGCGCCAGGCGCGCGAACGAGAGGTGCGGCGCCGGGCCCATCGCCGCCGCGTTTCCGATCAGCGGCCACGCAAACGGGCCGGGCGGCGCGGAGCCCGGCTGCCGCCGCCGCTGCCGCAGCAGCCAGTGGCCCACGTGCACGGCGGCCAGCACCGAAAGGAGCAGCAGGAGCGTGGTCTGCTGGGACGACAGCGCGCTCGGCTGCAGGGGAGCGTCGGCACCGAGGCTGGTGGCCATGCTGGAGGGAGAAGGGCGGAGGCGAGACGCTCAGGTGTGCAGAGAAAGAAGCGGGCGCCCCACGCCCCCACCCCTGGCGTCCGGCTACGGTGCGCTGTTGGGAAGGGAGGAGGTCGCGCGTAGGTCAGGGCGGGCTCACTGGGGAAGCAGCAGAGGACGCTTCTTCCCATCCCAAACCCATTCCTCGAAGGAGACGGGAAAGAGCGCGTTTCCACCTCTCTGTGCCCCGGACTCTCCGTCCCCACCTCAACCCCCAGCTCCGTAACGGTTCCAGCAATTCGGGGACAACCCGGAGGGCATCAAGACGGAGGCGCTCAGTTCCCTCCCAGTGCCTACCACCCCGGCCCGGTAAGGCCGCGGGAAGGCGGCCCCGCGGACAGACTGACCTGCGAGGTGGCGCGGTCTCCAGCGGCGCGGGATGCATGGCTCCGAAATCGGCCCGGGGCCTTTGTGGAGGGCAAGACGTCTCCAGGAAATCGGAGGCCTCGCCTGGACACCTGCTGCTCTGGGAGCTTGAGCACCCACTCTGGGGCCTCTAGACGTCGTCCGAGCCAGGGGCGCTGGGATTGGGCTGGGGACCGAGAAGGGTGTCTCCTTTGCCGAGCCCCGCTATACCGGGGGCCTCGGCAAAGCGAGGGTTTTCTCAGAGTGCGGACTGAGACTGGGGGTCAACGAGTGCGGCCAATTCCCAGCCCTCAGGACCCCCGCGTGTCTCTGACAGCTGGTGTCGCCGAGGCGTGGCCCGTTTGCACGCAGTCACGCCGGAGTCAAAACGCGCCATCCCGCCCGGCTTTTAAGGTCTGCGGAGGGTGGGGGGAGGAGACGGCCGAACCTGGCGGGGCGGGGCTTGCGAGGGGCGGGGCGCCGGCTCGCTTCCAGCGGCTCAGACCCCGACCCCGGTCGCCGGGCTCCGCGGTCACGCTAAACGGCCGCGATTCTCCCGACGGCCTGGGCGCAGTGGCTGGCGGCTTTGCTAGAAGCTGCGGTGTGAATTTCCCGTTTGCCGCAAAACCACACTTAATCTGTGGCTCCCCATCGAAGCCGCAGTTTCCCGGAAGCGCGCTGGGAACAGAACCTGCGGGTCCCGCGGCGCTCTCCGTGGGAGCGCGCCCCCCGCCCGGAGCGCACGACCCCCCTTCCCTCTCGGCGACTGAGCTCCGTCCCCGAGACAAACCCGCTCGGGCTTGTTGGGCGCCCGGGCCGAGAGAGGGAACCTGTCGGTTTGGGAACGCGGAATGCCGGGTGGTGGCGGCGCTTGCCTTTTACAGCATCCCTAGTTGTTTTATTTATTGGAACTTCCGTGCAAACAAATGAGGCTGTTTGGCGCGCAAAGTTCTGCTTCCCCCTCGCGCAGCGAGATCAAGAATCCCCGTAAGACTCCGCTCCCAGACCCCGGGCCCCGGCCGCGCTTTGCACACAAAGGCCGGTGCTGGCCGCGCGCAGCTGGTCGCGAGGTTTCCCGCTTCGCAACCCCCCAGGTGGTGCCGCCCACTGCCCCGCGCGGGGTCGCGCTGGCCGCGTCCGGGACCCTCGGCGGCCCAGAGCCGGGAGCCAAGCTGGGGCGAACGCGCGGCGAGGAGCGGAGGGACGGCGCTCTGGTGATCCCGGAGGGAGGGACGAGGGGGAGGAGGAGCAGGAGGCCGTTCTCCTCGCGCCTATCAATTTTATCGGGTCGAAGTTTCCTCAGCTGTCCCTCCCCCTTGCGTGCAGAGCAGGGCTTTGCGTGCGCGGCTTCTGGAAAGTCTTGGGCTCTGGTCATATCCTTGGGCGCTTCTCACGGCACCTGCCACGCCGAGGCGGCGGGGGCGGCGGCCCAGGGCGGGGTGCCGGCCGCCACCACCCTCCGCGGCGCACGCACGGCCGCACCCCGGCTGGCCACCGAGGCGGACGCCCTTGACCACCCCATCCGGGGGCGGATGTGGGCGCTGTGAACTCGAGATGGGGACGCTTCCTTCGAAGGGGGGAAGCCGGAGGTGCTCGCGCCCCGGTAGCTTCCCCGGCCGGCTGCGCCCTTCCTTACAGGCTGGTACAAAGCATTGGCAAGCCCCTGGGGAGCAAAGGTCTTCTCCGCAAGGCTGGGGAAAAGGCGAGCCCGGGGAAGGGTGGGATGTATGGTAGTTGCCCATGCTGGAATTGTATCTCCGGGCCTCTGGGATCCTCAAGCGTCAATATAAAAGTTGGGCGCTTAACACGTGACAACTCTGCGCTTTGAGTATTACCCATGCTAGACATCTCTATTGTTCTGTTGCTTCTCAGTTTACAGATGTGGAAACTGGTGTTCGGAGAGGTTATGTGACTTAACGAAGATCACACACACTGCAATACAATTACAGTCATACAGTATAATCTTGGGGCGCCTGGGTGGCTCAGTCTGTTGAGCCTCAGACTCTTGATTTCGGCTGAGGTCATGATCTGCGGCTTGTGAGATTGAGCCCCATGTCCACCCCCCCGCTGGGCGTGGAGCCTGCTTAAAATTCTCTCTCTCTCCCTCTGCTCCTCCACCCCTCTCTTTCTCCCTCTCTAAAAAGTAAAAATTTAAAAAAAAAAGTACAATATAATCTTAAATGATTTCTCTCTTTTTTTTAAGATTTTATTTAATGATTTCTCTTTTCAAGGAAGTGATTGAAATGCTTGATGGTTTTCTCCCCTTCCCACTTCTTACCAGCTATCAAGAGGTGAAGCCAGAATTTGAACCCCCTGAGTCCCATTCTAGATCCATCGTACCCGTTTGTGTGGAAGGAAATCCTCAGATGAAAAAAGCACAAACGCTATCTTTCCTGACTGCCTTTAAAAAAAAAAAAATTCAGCTGGAAGAATTTTTTTAAATAGTTGTTTTTGTTTACAGAAGTGAGGACTCTGAGGATCAGAAAGAAGAAATAGTGTGGTCACCTTTTGCAATAAAATTGGATGAGGGAGGCCTGTGGGCTATGCCTCATAGCTGACCTGGAAATAAGTGGTTAAATTTTAAAGAAGCCTAAAGAGGTGTCTGAAAAGAGACACCTTCAGTGAGAGACTGAAACCAACAATAAAACATCTGACCCGATAAGAAAATGCTTTTTGTAAAAGTCTCCGTTCAGCAGTTTTTGAGAGGTTCTCTGAAAATGATTTCATACACTGTAATGGAGCAAATCCATGATGAAGCTATTTTTGAGCAACTAGGTAAATAAGCATTGGTTTCCCAGAGCTGTGTTGGCCTGCACATCCTTTGAAATGAGTTTCATAACCTTACAATATCCAGCTTTAGCAAGACCTTGCCTAATAATTCAGTTCAAGACGACTGCACGCATCAATCTCTCAGTAGGCGTTAATTTAATAGATGGGAATTGTCTGTGGGCTTATGCCAATTCTGAGCCATCAAACATTCCTGAAAGCCTCTATCCCAGCATCCCTACCAGAAACAGAGCAAATGGGGGTTGCCTTTAAATCGAGTACGTTACTGTTTTCAAAAGTATAACCCAAGGCTATTCCTAAGCTCTCTTGTTAATAATTCCTGAATAATGCTGTATAATTTTTAGATAAACTAGATGCATGCCCGCTTGCCATAGACAATAATTTTTTTTAAAGATTTTTATTTATTTATTTGAGAGAGAGAATGAGAGACAGAGAGCATGAGAGGGAGGAGGGTCAGAGGGAGAAGCAGACTCCCTGCCAAGCAGGGAGCCCGATGCAGGACTCGATCCCGGGACTCCAGGATCATGACCTGAGCTGAAGGCAGTCGCTTAACCAACTGAGCCACCCAGGCGCCCCATAGACAATAATTTAAGCATATCCGCCAAGCTATGGTGCCTTGGGCTCAGCTCTTGTTCTAGGACATGCTCTAAAAAGCAGAGTAACCAGTTGGGCCCATGCTGTCAAAAAGGCAGGTCCTTATCGATTATGACAAACCCAAATGACCGGCTATGATAACAGCTTCTTCAGAATTTGCAGGTCTCAGATTCTCTCAGACTTTGTGGTGGAGGATCCATCTGGTACTGGACAGAGACGTAGGGTAAATCCTAGGTGGCCCGTGGGGACCCCCGACCCAGCTCAAGGCAGGGCCCCCTTGCTAGTGAGAATCCACACCAGGCTCTTTAGTTACCAACACAACTTCTCAACCAAAGCCAGTAGTATTTAAGGCCCTGGGATCTCCTTTCAGTCAACAGCACAGGATATGGGCATTTCGCCCTCCCAGATCCCAAACTTGAATTATGTGGTGCAAATAACTTTCAAAAGAACAGCTAAGCTAGAGAGAGAGTTTAAAGTGGAGGTTTAAAATACCTTATATTATACTGATTCCAAAGACCAGAAATTGAGCACAAGCTTGTTTAAGCAGACCAGGAATGCACTGGCTCATGTGCAGAGAAGGGTAACTGTGGTACCTTACAGGATGGAAGGATCTGGGGCTGCTCTCCCCTATCTCTGTTATGCCGGTCTCTGCTTGGGCTTTGTTCTGGAGACTCTCCTTATGTGCTGGGAAAGCTGGCCAGAGGCAGCCCCAAATGAACCACCCCAAGAAAAAGAGAGTGTCTCTCTTCCAAGGTCATTATACAAGACCCTGGAAGGACTCTGACACGCCAGGCCAGCATCAGGCCACCCTGTGGCCAACAGTCTAGGTCTGATATCAGGAAAAGAGGTATGTGGGAAGAGAGAACATGCTACGAAGCCAGAGATAAAAGCCCCCTCAGTCCTCATGTATCTCACTTCTGTCCATCACTCCTATACCCCAAACCTATTGTCATCATCATCATCATTTTGTTTTGTTTATATTTTATTTATTTATTTGGGTTGGGGGAGGGAGGGCGGAGGGGTAGGGGGAGGGACAAGCAGACTCTGCACTTAGCGTGGAGCCCAACATGGGGCTCCATCTCACAATCCTAAGATCATGACCTGAGCCGAAATCAAGAGTCAGATGCTTAATGGACTGAGCCACCCAGCCTCCCCCTTCATCGTCATTTTAAATCAGCAAATCAGATAGATGCGTTACACCTGGAGCCAATAGCCAGGAAAGTCAGCCCTTATGTCATCAGGCTAGAAGTCGGTTTTCTTGATGGGCTTTCCCTCTGGCATAATCCTCCAGCATAATGTCAATTTTGCGGCTGCACACCGTGCTCTCCCAACCCCCTCCAAACACACATATGCACATGCACTGAGCGGAGAGAGGAGTAAAGTCAACAGTCTCTCGCAAGTCTTTGACATATAGGATGCGCAAGAATCCATCATCAGACCCATGATAGCAGGCAGAGAAATAGCAGTCGGGATACAGCAAGTGTCCCAGGCGACTGAGAGTATGGCAGAGAGAGGAGTAGTAGGAAGCTACAGATCATGTGCTGGGAAGAGGATTCTTAGCAGGTAACATCAAAACCCTGTGCCCCACCTGACTTGATTCTGCTTCCTTCCTCCTGGTCCACACAGGCTAAGAAGCACAGAGCTAACAAATCTTTCTTATTTCATCTAATCTAAGAAGTTATCATTTGTGGATGCACTGTTGTTTTATGCATTAATGTAAACACAGGGGGCTGCCATTTCTAATTATGCCACCGATTAATAAGACATAGTCTAATTTCCCAGAGGTTAAAAACATTTTCAGTGTGTTTTAGAATCGACAAAGATTCCTTCAGTGAGAGACAAAGCACCGTGGGCGCTGGCGGTGATCCTCTGGGTTCTCTGCCTTTGTATTCAGTAGTAGTGGTCCTGAGAGCTCTTAGATGAGGACATTGGAGCCCGGAGTGTTACCTACCAAAGCCATAACCCCTTTCATTTTTTTTTTTTTTACTTGATGTGAACAATTGATGTTTTTTCAATTCCATGTAAAGCATAGGGAACAGCTTTGCTTTGGAAGATTTTGCTAATTTTATTGACCTGAATAAACCCAAGAAAATGGTCACTTCTAAATCAGTGCAGCTTAAGACCATTTTCTTAGCCCTCCTCTCCTTCTGACCCGAGCGCCCCACTAAGCTCTGCCCCACTAAGCTCTTTCCATATAGTCTGGTATTCATGAAAGCCACAAAGCTACACTGGATTATTCCAGTTTCCCACCAGAATACTTTCATGTGTATTTAGAAGTGAATGGGCATCCGCGTTTGCAACATACTCTCAAATAGTTCAAGAAAACAGAGAGGGAGGGAGGGAAGGAGGGGGAGAGAGAGAGACAGAGAGAGAGAGAGATGAAAATCATAAAGCAAATATGGTAAAATGTCCATAATTGGAGAATTTGGGTAAAGGAGAGTTCCTTGTGATGTTCTTGCGACATGTCTGTAAGTTTGAAATTGTATCAAAATTAAAAGTTACTCAAAAAAAATTAAAAGTTACTGAGAATAGAAACTAGGAGCATGAGAAGGAATTATCTCCCTGACATTATGATCTAACATTGTCTCCTCAGTTTTGATTGAAAATCTCTTATGAGAAAGGACAGTGACAAGAACCGGGGATTGGCGTGTCCATGGGGCTCCTTCATCTGTTGCAGCTCCTGGAGTTCTGGGCTAGGAGAACGTATGGACGTGCTCAACGGGGATGGTTTTCCCCAGTTTCCTCTCTGATTTGCCCCTTCCCTTCTTTGCTGTCCTTGCTCTTTGAATGCTCTAAGTGTACTGGGTTTTTGATCTCCTTCAAGTCCTTTTGAAAGTGAAAGGAATATAGTATGTAAACAGCCTCT